AGAAGCACTTCCACACACAGTTCACACGTGTTTCCTTCTGGTCGGATTCCCAGAGTCTTCGAAACGGAAGTCTGAGAGTAAGGAGCAGAACATGCTTAACAAGCCTCTTGCTCTATTAATTTCAGGGCTTCCTAATACACCCCATAACGTCAGGTAGTCAAGAACGACTTGTTTGGCCAGGGACAAAGTGCTCAGGAGTTGAAGTTTTGTTGGTGTAAAGAGAAGCCTCCTGCATTTCAGGTGTCGGCAACAAAAGTATTTGAATCTTTATTAAGTTTATTGGTAAGAAGTCAGATTTTTCATAGGCATAAATCCTTTATTGTTTCATCAAAGAAGGACCAAATCATTTATATTTGAAGCTCAGACATATAGTTGTATTGGTTTGATTAATGAAGAAGTTGGCAAACTATGTCCTAGAGACCCAATCTAGCCCTCGCCTATTTTTGTAAATACTTCTTGGCAGATAGCCATGCTCATTAGTTTACAGGGTCCACGGCTGCTTTCATCAGAGACCGTGTGCCACGTGTGAAATAATTGCTATCTGGTCCTTTACAGAAAAAGTGTATTGATCTCTGGATGAATACATATTTTCATAAAACCTTCTTAAAGACCTCGTGGGTTTTTATGATCACTTGCGTAAAAGGTCCTGGGGAGAGAGGAAAGTGATGTAGGTAGAGGTGGCTAAGATGTTGCGTTAGTTTTATACTTTGAGCTGCCTTTGTTTACCCAGCCGAGCAGAGTTGCTTCTTCCTTCCTTGTGTCTCCACAGACTCTAAAGATGTCTATTTTTGCGTTCATTTGCTTAAATGCTTGTCTTTCCTATTTGATATTGAGTAACCTGAGAGTAAGGCTCATGCTTGACTTGGTTCTTTATTCTCAAAATCTAATGTAATACTTGGCATAAAGCTAAAAACTTTAAGGAATTGAATTAATTTGGGCAGAATCTTCCAGCATTCCAAAGCAGAAGCATTTTATGATGAGTGCCAAGACAAGAGGCAGAGAATGCATTTTCCCTCCCAGTAGTTTAAATTATTTTTTTAAAATAATTTAACATGAACTCTAACCCTAGGGTTATATGGAAGAAGAAGAATTGCAAGGCTTTCGTGTGTTGATCACACGCTCAAAATCAGTAACCAGGAAGCATATTTAATGAAGATAAGGATTAGTTTTTGCTTTTGATTTTTTTTCTTTTAAAATAAACGCTATGAACTCCTAGTCACTGAAATGACTGAGGGAATAGAAGTTGATAGTTGATTTCGTGATCTAGTTAATTACGATACAGTAATAGGTTTTCAATTTTTAGGGAGAAAATGATGAAATAAATTGTCATAAAACCATCTGGACAAATTTTTAACTTGCTTTAATGATTCAGAAGACACTTCAGGATCTTGAAGTGTCACAATTATCATAATGCGCATCAGTGGGAGGTGGTCAAATACTTATTGATTTGCATTCTGTACTTCAAAGTAGACAGTCTAAGAAATTGGGCTGAAAATATGCTGACCCTGTGGTATATTTTGGAAACTGCTTCAGAAACTCCTGATATCAGCTTGTTTACTTGTCATTTATATTTTTCACATGAAATTGTTGTTAAAAAAACTTATTTGACTTTCTTAGCTATTTGCATTGTAGCTAAAGGAAAGTTTTACAGTTCTTAAACATCTTAAGAGTTGGCAGGCTTCTAAAATACTTTTCCTTTCAGTTTTGATGCCAGTAATAAATATCAGTTTGTACCCATCTTAAAGATCAGAAACAAATATCTTATTATCTGTCTACTTCCAAAGTTGGTTTTCTGTCTCAATGTCCAAGGATGATTGTTATGGGCCTAGATGAAGAGACATGAGTTTAAATGCTGACTCAGCCACTTATTATTTGTGTGTGTGATCATGGACAAGTTATAAATCTCACTATCTTTCAATTTCCTCATCTGTGAAATAAAGATACTTAAGTAACAGGGTTATGGTAAGAATTAAGAAGTTAATGAATATAAACTCTTTAGCTAGCAAACTTCAGATACATAGAGATCTGAAAATGGTGACTATTTTCCTCCTTAGAGTTCAGATTATTAAAAATTATTTAGTTTTTTGTTTTTTAAGTTAACATACAGTAAAATTCATTTTTTGTGCATACAATTCTATAAGTTTTAACCTATGTATAGATTCATGTAACCATCATCACAATTGGGATGCAAAACAGTTCCATCACCCCAAAAAATCCCTCATGCTGTTCATTTGAAGTCACGTTCTCCCCCCAGTCCTAACCCATGACAACCACTGATCTATTTTCCATCACTACAGTTTTCCCTTTTCTATAATGTCACATAAATGGAATCATACAATGTAACCTTTCGAGACTGGCTTCTTCATGCAGCATGATGCAATTGGGATTCATCCAAGTTTTCACGTATGTCAATAGTTTATGCTTTTTATTGCTGAATTGTATTCCATTGCATAGGCGTATCATAGCTTGGTTATCCATTCACCCATTGAAGGACATTTGGGTTGGTTCCAGTTTTGGCAATAGAGTTCCTATGTGAACATATGTTGTGTGAACATGTTTTAATTTCTGTAGGGCAAATATCTAGGATTTGAGACTTTTAGGTCATATGGCAAGATGTGTTTAAATGTATAAGAAACTGCCAAGCTGTTTTCCATAGTGGCTGTACCATTTTGCACTCCAGGAATGTATGAGAGTTCCAGGCGCTCTGCATCCTCATCAACACTTGATATTATCTTTTTTTTTAAATTTTAGCCTTTCTGATGGGTGTGAAGTGGTATCTCATTGAGGTTTTAATAATAATGAGCTTATTTTCATATGCTTATTTGAAAACCCTGTATTTTCTTTGGTGAAATGTCTGTACAAATATTTTGTCCACTTTTAAATTGGGTTTGTTTTCTTATTGATGAGTTTTTGAGAGTTCTTTCAATATTCTTTGTATGTTCTGGATACAAATCCTTTGTCAGATATGCAACTTGAAAATATTTGCTCCCAGTTTGTGACTGGTCTTTTCATTTTCTTACCAGTCTTTCACAAGATGGAGATTTTAAAGTTTGATGGAGGCCAATTTATCAACTTTTGAATTTCTTGAATTGTACTTTTACTGTCATGTCCAGGAACTCTTTGCTTAACCTCATATCATGAAAATTTTCTCGCATGTTTTCTTCAAAGGTTTTTCTCACATGTTTTCTTCAAAGGTTTTATAGTTTCATGGTTCTCATTTAGATCTAGGATTCATTTTGAGTTAAGTTTTGTATAAGATATGAGGGGTTTTTCTTGTAAAAAATCAATTGGCCATATTTGTACGGGTCTGTCTCTTGACTATTTTATTTCATTGATCTTTATCTCTTCACCAGTAGCACACTGCTCATTATAGCTTATAGTAATTCTTAAATTACCTCCAATTTTATTTTATTGTCTCAAAATTGTTTCAGCTATTCTTGTTCCTTTGCCTTTCCATATAAATTTTAGAATCAGCTTTAAAAATTTACAAAATCCGGGGCCGGTTCCGTGGCCGAGTGATTAAGTTCATGCGCTCTGCTGCGGTGGCCCAGGGTTCGGATCCTGGGTGTGCACGTGGCACTGCTTGTCAGCCCACGTTGAGACGGCGTCCCACATCCCACAACTAGAAGGACCTGCAACCAAGATATACAACTGTGTACAGGGGCGTTTGGGGAGATAAAGCGGGAAAAAAAATTTTACAAAATCCTATTGGGATTTGATTAAAATTACATTAAATCTATAGATCACTTTGAGGGAATTGACACCTTTATTATGTTAAATCTTCTAATCCACCAACACAGTATGTCTCTCCATTTATTTTGTGCCACATTGACTTCTTTCATCAGTTTTGTGTAATTTTCAGCATACAGGTTTTATAAATTTTTTTTGTACTTCTACCTAAGCATTTCATTATTTTGCAGTTATTTATGTTTTTAAAAATTACTTTTAGTTTTCAGTTGTTCATTTTTAGCATATAGAGAATAGATCAATTTTTGTGTATTGATTATATGTCCTGTGACCTCGTAAAACTCATTCATTAGTTCCTGGTTTTTTATTTTTTGGTGTTTTTGGTAGATTACTCTGGATTTTCTACACAGACAATTTCATCTCTTGCAAATAGGGACAATTTTACTTTTCCTTCCCCAATCTTTATGATGTTTGATAGGGGTGGTGAAAGTGGATATTTTTGTTTTGCTCCTCATATATGGAGGAACGCATTCAGCTTTTTACAAACAGGTATGAAGTTAGTAAGAGTTTTTTTTTTTTTGGTAGATGCTCTTTAACAAATTAAGGAAGTTATCTTCTATTCCTAGGTTGCTGAACTTTTTTTTAAATTATGAAATGATGTTGAATTTTATCAAAAAATATTTTGGTATCTATTGATTTCTCTTCCTTAGACAGTTAATATGGTAGATAAATTGATTGGTCATGATGTCTAATGATTATTATCCTTTTTATATATTGTCACATAGTATTTGCCGATATTTTGTAGAGGATTTTGTGTTGATGTGCTGGCATGATACTTGTGTGAACTTTCTTTTAGTTTCTTGTCTTTTTGTCTAGGTTTAGTATTAGAGGAATGCTGGCTTCATAAACAGATTTGAGAAGTGTTCTCTGCTCTTTTATTTTCAGGAAGAGACTGTAGAATTGAGGCTATTTCTTCTTCAAACATACCAGTGAAACTGAGCCAGGAGATTTTTTTGAAGTTTTCCTCAATTAAAAAAAATTCAATTTTTTTTTTTTTTTGTTTTTTTTTTGTTTTTTTTTTTTTTTTGGAGGAAGATTAGCCCTCAGCTAACTACTGCCAGTCCTCCTCTTTTTGCTGAGGAAGCCTGGCTCTGAGCTAACATCCGTGCCCATCTTCCTCTAGTTTATACGTGGGACGCCTACCACAGCATGGCTGCCAAGCAGTGCCATGTCCGCACCCGGGATCCGAACCAGCGAACCCCGGGCCGCCGAGAAGCGGAACGTGCGAACTTAACCGCTGCGCCACCGGGCCGGCCCCAAAAAAATTCAATTTTTTAATAGTTATAAGACTACTCAGAATATTGATTTCATCTTGCATGAGTTTATGGTTTTTGAGGTATTGGTTCATTTCATATAAGTTATTGGATTTATATGCAATTAATTGTCCAGAGTATTCCCTTTTAATAGCTGTAGGGTCTGTACTGATATCCTCTGTTTCATTCCTGATGAATTTGTCTTCTCTTTTCTTCTTTTTCAGTCTTGCTAGAGCTTCATTGATTTTATTAACCTTCTTAAAGGTTAATAAAAACCAATCTTTTTTTCTCTTCAATTTCTGCTCTTATCTTTGTAATATCCTTCTTATGCTTGCTTTTGAGTGTTTTTTCTGAATTTCTTAATGTAAAGGTTTAGATTACTGATTTGAGACCTTTATTCTTTCTAAGCTAAGTGTTTAATGCTGTAAATCTCTCTCAATAGATGCCTTTAGAGGCAGTTCTAAAATTTTGATATGTTGGATTTTAATTTCTTTCAGTACAGTATATTTTTTTTAACTTTCTTTGAGGTTTCCTCTTTGATCTGTGGATTATTACTAGTGTGTTTTTAAATTTCTAAGTGTTTGGAAATTTTCCTGTTTTCTTTATGTTATCAATTTCTAATTCAATTCTGTTAATCTCAGAGAATGTATTTTGTAGGATCTCAATTTTTAAAAAATTTTGTTAGGTTTTACTTTGTAACCCAGGAGATAGTCTATCCTGGTGATTGTTCCATGTACGTTTGAAAAGAATATGTCCTCTGCTGTTATTGGGTGAAGTGTTCTGTAAATGTGAATTAAAGCCACTTCATTGATGGTGTTATTCAGTTCTTCTACATACTTTCTGAGTTTTGTCTGCTTGTTATATCAAAAATTGAGAGAAGTTGAGGTTGTCAAATATGATTACGAATTTGTTTATTTCTGCTCTCAGTCCATCAGTTTTTGCTTCTTCTATTTTGAAGCTTTGTTGTTAGGTCCATACTCATTTAGGATTTTTTTTGTCTTCTTGGTGAATTGACCCATCTGTTATTATGTAATATCCTTGTTTATCATTTTACTTTTCTTTTGATTACTGTTTACATGGTGTCCTGTTTTTCATCATTTTGCCTTTACTCTGCCTAGCTTTTCATTTTAAATCCTTTTTGACAATCTCTTCTTTTGATTTATGTGTTTACACTATTTACATCTAAGTATTGATATATTCGGATTTAAATCTACCATCTAATTATTCATTTTCTGTTTGTCCCCTCCATTTTTTGCTTTTCTATTTGTCTATTACTGCCTTTCTCTGGATTATATGCACTTTTTTAGTACAGTAGTACCCCCTTATCTATGGTTTCACTTTCCACAGTTTCAGTTACCTGAAGTCCACTGTAGCCTGAAAATATTAAATGGAAAATTCCAGAAATAAACACTTCATATGTTTTAAATTGCATGCATTCTGTAGCATGATGAAATTTTGTGCCATCCCATCCTGTCCCACCTGGGAATGAATCATCCCTTTGTTCAGCATATCCACACTGTATGCACTTCCCACCTGTTAGTCACTTAGTAGCCATCTCTCCATTATCAGATTGTCACGGTATGCCAGTACTTGCATTCAAGTAACCCTTATTTTACTCAATAGTAGCCCCAAAACACAAGAGTAATGATGCTTGCAATTTGGATATGCCAAAGAGAAGCCCTAAAATGCTTCCATTAATCGAAAAGGTGTAAGTTCTCAACCTAATAAGGAAAAAAAATTGTATGGTGAGGTTGCTAAGTTCTACAGTAAAAATGAATTTTTTATCTGTGAAATTGTGAAGATGGAAAAAGAAATTTGTGGTAGTTTTGCTGTCATGCCTCAAATAAGTACATATAAGAAAAAATATAGTATATACAGGGTTCGGTACTATCTGTGGTTTCAGGCATCCACTGGAGGTCTTGGAACATATCTTCTGTGGATAAGGGGGACTACTGTATCCATTTTAAGTTATCTATTGTGTGTTTGATTATCTCTCTTTTTTTAATAGTTTATGTAGTGGTTACTCAAAAGTTATAATATACATACTTAACATTTTACGGTTTATGTAGAATCGCTATTTTACCACTTGAATTAGAGTGTAGAAAGCTTACCACCATATAGGTAGTTCCTTTTATTCTCCTCCATTTATGTCATAATTGTCACACATATTACATCAATGTACATTGAAAAACTATCAGACAATGTGATAATTTTTGTTTTTATCTATCGAATATATTTTAAAGCGCTTAAGAGAAATTATATTTCCATCATTTCTGTTGCTCTCCCTTCATTCCTGGCATTACAATTTTTCTTTGGTATCACTTACCTTTGGCCTGAAAAACTTCCTTTAACAGTTATTTTAGAACAAGTTTTCTGGCAGCAAATTCTCTTGGTTTTCTTTCAATAGAGAAATCATTTGTTTTATCTTTATTCCTGAAGGAAATTTTTGCATTTGAAAATGTCGAACTAATTCTTTCTGGCCTCCATGATTTCAGAAGAGAAACATTTGAATTGTTCTTCCCCTATAGTTAATGTGTTGTTCCCTCTTGCTGCTTTTAAAGAATTTTTCTTTGTTTTTACTTTTCATGACCTTGATTACAATATGTCTTGCTATGGATTTTGCGTTTATCCTGTTTGGAGTTTACGGAACTTCTTTAAAGTATAAATTTCTGTCTTTCATTAAAATTAGGATGTTCAGCCATTATTTCTCCAGATTTCTTTTCTGTATAAACCTTTTTTTTCCCCTCTGGAACTCAGATTACACAAATACTGGACGTTTTGGTACTGTCCTACACATTCTCTTTTCTGTCATCTCCATTCTGCCATTGAGCCTATCCAGTCAGTTTTTTATTGGACATGTAAAGTTTTAAAAACATCATGTTCTTAAATCCTTTGTATCCTGCCAAGTCTTATATTTGTCCCAGATTTTATATTTTCAACAAAGTGTTATTATTCATAGTCGCATTAATATAAACTGCCAGTCAGGTCAATGGGAAGTAGGGGAAATTATAAGTTAGTTTCATGTAAACTATGTGTGAGTATCATGGTTTTAAAACATTTCCACAAATTTTTTAATACTCTTTTCATCAAAAGGTTCACTTTAACTACCCTTCCCTTGAGTAGCATTCAGTGTTATGTTAGTGACTTGTATCTAACAAACAGAACGCATTGAAAAGTGATGCTGTGTCTATATCAAGGTCCTGCTAGAAAAGGCAGTACAGCTTCCTTATGGCTCACTTTCTTGAAAAACTCACTCTTGGAAATCAGCCACCATGTTGTGAGGGCGCATGTAGAAAGCACATGGAGGTGTTTGACATCCACAGCCAGGGCTCCAGGAGATCTCCGGCATCAACCGCCAGACCTCTTAGTGGGCAAGACTTGAGATGGTCCCAGTTCCCAGCCTTTCTGCTACCCCAGCCAAAGCTGAGTGGAGCGTAGATGAACTGTCCCAACTGAGCCCTGCCAAAATAGTTGATTGAAAAAATATATATATGTTGGTGTTATAAACCTCTATATTCTGGTTTTTTTGTTACCTAGCAATAGAGAAATGGAATTGATTTTGGTATTTGATCCCTGGAGGTGCTGCTGGAGGTGCTACTGTAACAAAAAAATCTAAGACATGCAGGAACTGCTTGGGAATCTCAAGTAGACTGTTAATGAAAGCCTAACACCTCGAAGAGATTATTAATAGAAAACAGTCTTTCTTCAAGGCGTCTAAGGCAGTTAACAAAACCTGTCTGCTAACGCTTTCCATTCCTTTCATTACATCTGACCCCACCATTCAAGTACCAGAGATACTACACAGTGCTAGGAGTTAACCTCCCTCCCACGCTTCCCCCAGACAATGGTGGCTATCTGACTGTTGGGTAATTCCATTTCAAAATCCTATCCTCAGGGGCTGTTTTTGGAGCCACTCCCCATTCCAACTCTTAAACTGGCTTTTCATGAAAGTGGAGCCTGAGATGATGACTCAGTGCAGGTACTTTATTTAGGAGATAATCCCAGGAAACAGAGGTGAGAGAGTGGGGAGAATGAGACAGGAAAGGGAGAAAAGCGAACAAATGGTATGTTACTGAGCAGGTTATTGCTGAGAAAAACTGGGACTCAGTCCCACTTGTGAACTCTGAAGAACCTTGCAGAATATGCCTCAGAATTGTCTCCTTAAAAAACTGGAGTCTGGTCTATTTACATAAAAACTCCTGTTCAGCATTGTTTGAGGGTTATCCCCACAGTTCCTAACACTTCTGCACTTTTGCATCTACTGAGTATCCGCTGTGCAGCTTGCTCAGTGACCTTCCAAGACCTCAGAGAAATCCCTGAGGCAGAAAAGCAGGGAGATGTCATACTTGAGGAGAGACACTGACAATACCCATGGAATTGTTTACCTTGGCCACACTGAAATCAGATGTACTGAGTTGGATGTGGTTTGGGGCACCACAAGCGTCTACTACACCTACACTTATAATTGAAGGGTATGCTAAATTTCAGTGGGAAGTTAGGATGGAATTCATTTTCCATCCAAGTTAACAGAACTTTTGGCAGCCCATGAGCCCCATGTTGAAAATCTTCGGTCTTGAAGCTCAGTAATTTGGCATTGTCTTTCCAGGCACACAGGAAGTGTCCCTCTCCAGCCTCCCTTCAATTAGGTTGGTCATATGACTGTGTTTTGGATGATGGCTAGGGGACAGAAGTAAAGTATACCACTTCCAGTCTGTTACCTAAAATTACCCTGCTCTTTGTTTGTCAGCCAAGAGAGAATTCAGTGGGAAGATGACGGAGTCACACGATGGAAGGAACTTGAATTCTTTAGTCCTCACTTGAAAGAGGGCAGCCCAGGCTAGTCACCCAACTCCCATCTGAGGGTGACTTGAGTGAGAAATAAGCCTTTTGTGTTTGTGTGTGAGAATCCATGGATATTTTGAGTTGTTTGTTTTAGTTGTTGGTGTTAATTACTTTGTGTAATGGCGTCAGAGTAGTATCTTACATAAGACCTATAGTTTCTTGATTCTCACCACACTTTGGTCATGAAGAAACCTCTTTCTTATAGGCAGGCGTGTGATGATAATTGACAGAATCATGTTGTGGTTTGCTTTTAGCCTTTTAGGGACTAGGCAGGAGGTCAGCTCAAAGCAGTAGTATTATTTTTAGATAACTCATTGCCTTCATCCTCGTTAGGGATAATTCTCCATTGCTCTCTTGCACTCGCTGAGCACAACTTGAGAAAGACATTCTCCTGAACAATCCTAACATAATAAATATGGGAGAAAGAGCCAGCATGAAATACTGTCTGCTTTCTCCTTTATCAGGAGTGCTAAGAAAATGTCCTAGGTATAATAAATGAGTCAATGAAAGACAAAATGATAATCACTTGGATTTTAGGTGAATAAAAAAGGAGATGCTTTCTGTCTTATCATTTTTGAGAAGTGTAAGGATAGTATCTATTTGGTGTCAGGGATGGACTGTGACAAAGAAGTAAGAATACTCCCTCTTGTGGTTCTTGGAAAAATAATCCCTGCTATGAGAGCATCCTGAGAAAGCAGAACTTCTGGATTCAAAGCTAACTTGAACAGATAATTAGAACTTACCCTTTTCTCTCTGACCTGGTGCTGTGAAGCTGAGTAACCATCTTAGGCTGTGTTGACGTGGATCTCTTGTGACTTTGGACTGCTAACCCCAGGGAGGAACTGAGAAGGTGACACGAGGAAAGGACTCTTCAACCTGACCTGGAAAAAGCCTGCTTTCCAGTTGGAATTTTTCCCCTGCAGCATAAAAGAAATAGTAATTGTCATGAAATTTCTTCTTTTTTTAACTTGCAGTTGGTTCCCCAATGTGGCCTTGTACCTGCTCTTGGAGAAGCTCGCATTTAAGAGGAGTAAATTTGGCGTTAGAACACATCTCTCATTATTTTGTAAGATGGGTGTGAATGTATTTCTCAGCTTTACTTTTTTTCCCTGGTCTATCTGGAATCTTATGAATTTAGCAGCTTTGTTTTTCTCAGGGGATAGTCAGCTGAGAAACACTGGAAGTAGAAAATGCACTCCTTTCTTAAGAAGTAAAATAGGGATGACATCGCAATTGAAAGACAACACATATGCGATGCCAACAGTGGTTTGATGTGAGATTATCATTTGTTTTCTCATCATTCATGCTTCCTGCCTTTTTTTTTTTTTTTTGAGGAAGATTAGCCCTGAGCTAACATCTGCTGCCAAGCCTCCTCTTTTTGCTGAGGAAGACTGGCCCTGAGCTAACATCCATGCTCATCTTCCTCTGCTTTATATGTGAGATGCCTGCCACAGCATGGCTTGTCAAGCAGTGTGTGGGTCCACACCAGGGATCTGAACCGGCAAACCCTCGGCCACTGAAGAGGAACGTGTGAACTTAACCACTGTGCCACCGACCGGCCCCCTCATGCCTCCTGCTTTTTGCTTCTCACGTCTCACTGTTAGAAACATGACATCCTCCAGTTCTGAGAGGGGTTGGCATCTGTGTAGGAAATCAATATCTATTTCTCTTTCTCTCTCTCTGATTCTCTAGTTAGGTTGCGCATATTGCTCTGATTTGCTCAGAAAAGTCCTGGTTTATACTCCTGTCCCTGTGTCCCATTTGGCTTAGGATTAGTTCCTTTTTCAATGAAAATTTTAACAGTTTCAATTTCATTATTCGTAAAATGCAACTTTAAGAATATTGGAGGCAGTTTTAAATTTAAATATTACATTGAAAAAGTACTTTTTTAGAAAAATACCTGTGACATGATATTAGAAGGAAAGAAAGTGATGAAAGCATGTGAATTGTGAGGGGGAAAGAAACTGCCTTGGACTGGATAAGGCACATCGCTTCTACTTATGTTCCACTGGAGAGACAGGCCCATGGGCCACCAAGGTCCGTGGCTGCTGGGAACTATAGCTTGACTGTTGGCCTGGAAATAAGAAATGGGTTTGGGAAACATCTAGTCAGTCTCTGTCACGTTATCTTAGAACAAATGACTGGAGGGAGGGCATGAAAGATATATGCAGCATAAAAAAGAGATGGTGTTATTCACACCTTAGAGAAAAAGAAACTGAGTCTCAGAGGAACTGAGAAAATTGCTCATGGCCACACCATCAAGAAGGGGCAGAAGTAAGCATCCAGCTTGGGTGTACTTGACTTCAAGTCCCAACATGTATTATCGTACCCCAAAGCTCACTTTCTAGTTTCCAGAAATCACACTTTATAGCACCATTTCTATCTTTATCTGTGGTTAACAGAAGCTAAGATTTAAGTGATTTAGGTTATTATTTCTATTTTGCCTGAATTACAATACTCGCATATATTTTTGAAAGCTATGACTAAGTATAAATATTGAAAGGATTTATATACACTTATCAATAATTTATACTTGATTTGAACTTTCTACTTATGAAAGCCCATTTATTACCTTAATCATACACGGACAGAAAATAGCCTTTCCTTTTTCCTATGTATTTATCTATTTTATGTTTTTCTGATGAGACCACAGAGTTAGAAACAAAATCTCATAGGACATCTTCTCATTTTTTCTGGGTTAAGCATACGTACGTAACCTGGTTCTTGCTTGGGGACTTCCATCACTTTTGAGGGTAGTGTAATATCAACCTGGAAGGTGTCTCTTCTTATATGCATCATTCTCTCCCACGTAAATGATCTTGAGACCCATGAAAGGAAAATAAAATTCTGAAATTAAATTCCCCATTGCCTTTGTTTACTGGCTGGTTTAATAGAACACCTCTCTAAAAACATATAATAAATTGACCAATCCACTTTGCTATTTTCCCACTCTTTCAGAAGTCAAGACACATCACTGATTTTTTTTTTTTTTGTCACACAGACAATGAATAGAATTAAGCGGATCTTAGAAAGCCTTGGGGAAAAATACAGCGAGATCCATATGACGTAGCTTGGTAGGAGTGGGCTGTCCTGGTTTTTGGAGTTCGTTTCTGCCAAGGATGGTCTTACCTGACACCTGTCAACAAGCAAAGTCAAAAAACATTAAAGCTTGTTGGTGGACTTTAACGTCCTCTCTTACCTTTCTGCCTGCCTCTTCTACAGTTCAGCCCCAGCTCAGCTTTGGGCTGTCTGTGTGTTTAGAGCAAACTGCGTGGAAAAAAGTGAAAGCAGAGGACACGATCCTTCCTCCCCATAATGCTCACTCTGTTCTGGCTTGGGTTCTGCTTGAGTCTATACGTAGAAAACAAAGCCCAATTTTTCACTTGATTCCAGACCTGCAGACGTTCTTGCAGAAACAACACTGATTATTTCTCTACCTATCCCTTCTGGAAATGTGTTTGGTTTATTGTTACTTTGCCCTTCCCCTTTCCAAGCACAGAAACTCTGAGGAGGCCTGTAAGCTAGGCAAGCATAAATCCCCATTTGTCTCAAAGTACAAGTCATACATTTAGCTGCTCAGCAAGAGACATACTCTCTCTGTTCCACGGAGAGCAGAGGCTCAGTGTGCTCAACATTCTGACCCACACGAAGCTCAGAGATCCCATATCAACAGTATGTAAATGTGGCAGGAGAACAGGCTGTGGACTCAACTAGAATTCAGACATGTCTGGACATGCCCGGTGTACTGGTAAGGCCATCTCCTCAAAAGGCTTGTTTTTCGGATGGACTAAAGAGATTTCTGAGAAAGTGTTTGTCCTAAGACAGGAGGGTTTAACCCTGTAACAAAACCTTAGTTGTCTGGGTGGATGGGTGATTCTACATACAGCATCAAAATTTTCATTTTCATTTGACTTGTAGCCAAGACGGTATGGGATTCAGGTTTAAATCCTGTGGGGAGCAATGTTTCTGTTCCTAAACCCTAAAGGATCTAATTTTCTAAAAACTCTCAAATGGAGATGCACAAGCAGTGCTTTACTGGAGCTCTCAGAAACAGATGCAGAGGGAAGAGAAACTCTTCCCTTCATGGCAACTGGGGTAGACAGGATTCTAAAGAGGCTTTCCTCTAGTTCCCCCCACGGCCCCCCACCCCATGCTTATTCATTCAAACAGTAATCTAGGTACATCTTTGAAGGGATTTTGCCGGTGTAATTGAAGTCCCAAAGTATGGATAAAGTATGGATATTATCCAGGTGGGCCTGATCCTATCAGGTGAGCCCTTCTAAGGCAGAGAGTTTTCTGTAGGCAGGAGCAGAAAAGGAAATCAGAGACTCAAAGCACAAGGGGGCTTGGTGCGCTGTTGCTGGGTTGAAGATGGAGTGGGCCTTGTGCCAAGGAATTCAGACGGCGCCTTTCTGACAGCTGGCAGAGAAACATGGACCTCATTCCATATTTGGCCAACAACCGGAATGAGTTTGGAGGCAGATTCTTTCTTAAGGCCTCCAGATAAAAGCCCAGCCCAGGGAACACTTTGATTTCAGCCTTGTGAGACCCTAAACAGAGAACCGAGTTGAGCCATGCCAGACTTCTGACCCACAGAAATGGGAGATAATTCATTTGTGTTCTTTTAAGTCACTGCATTTATGGTAATTTGCTCTGCAACCATAGAAAACTAATGCAGTAACAGAATATGATGAGTCTTTGTATCTTATGGGACCCAGGCCTCAGCTGTGGTGGGAGGCCCCAGCGTCCCGCGGACCTGGTGGTGTACAGCGGATGCCAGTGGTAAATGGTGAAGCATGGTAAGGAAAGACTTGGTGAGTGCTTGTGAGACATCCCCTAGGAACACCCAGAAATTCTCCTGGGTGGGGGAAATAACCAGTGAAATTGGAATCGTTACAGTTAATGTGAGCCACCAGAACCTACAGGCTGATGCAGTCTAGGGAAATTGACTGCACACATCTCCACAAAGTGCAGGTTAGTTCAATCTCCAGCACCTACTTCATTCCGCAAAAGAGATGCGGATTTGTTTTTCTCCCCTGATTTATTTCTCCCCATTCCTAAATTCCCTTGCCTTTTTCCTGGGTCCTGATCTCTTTTGGTAGATGCCAAGAGATGGATTTAGTGAGGATATCCTTGGATAATGAAAACAGTAGAAACAAATATCTTATTCTTTATTATTAAGTCTTGAGATAAAATAGCAACTTATTCTTAAGAGAGAGGTCTTTTTCAGTATACTTAGGTGCCTTCATCACAAACTTCCTATTAAAAAACCAGCAAGCAAACATTTTGTATTGGGTTCTTAACAAAAGAAACTTGATCAAAGTGTGGAAGAGTAGGGATGTCTCATTTTTAAAGCTAAGATACAGATTAGTACAGAGATGATTGTAATATAATTGTACTGTAATTTTCTAAGAATATTATTGGGAGACAATTCCCCACAGATCTCTTGCATTTCTGCATTTCTTCTGAATGGATTAATTGACAGCTTCTGTTCTGGACTATCTTTTCAAGGGTGTTTGTACGACAAATAGCTTTGGAAGATAAAGATAGTGTCTCTCTGAGGCAAAGGGCAGATTTGTTTGCTGTCCAGGATAAGAAAGATAATATCTCCTTCTGCAGCAAAAGTTGGGCAAATTTGTTGGCAGTGTTCTTTCAAAGTTTGGTGTTTCCTGAGCTCAGGGCATCTCAGCTCTGATACGAACCCTGTGTGCACCAGGGGACCAATTTGTCCTAGTTTGCCTGAGGCTTTCCTGATTATAGCATCAAGTCTTGAATACCAGGAACCCTTCAGTTTTGGGTACACCAGGGAGTTGGTCACCCTAGTGAGCTTCCTGCACCTGAGATGCTCCGTAGCACCCCTATGGGATTTGGGGGGCAGGGAACACATGTAAACTTGAAGCTCATGCTGCCACCGTGCTGTGAGTAATAAAATCCTTTGGCTCTGACCCAGGAGTCTCGTGTCTTTGGTTAGCACCCTTAAACCTCTGGTGGGCCTACTTGTTAGGTAGCAAGTACAGTAAAATATCAGACCCTTCACTGTTCTTCACAAATATAAGTCTAGTAATTGCTGGAATTGTACTTGGACAAAAGCCTATTTTAGATTGGAGGAATGGAGTAAGTCCGTAAGCTTCCTCTAAAGTTTTCCAAAAGCTGTCTTATGAAATGAGTAATTCAAAAGCAAATCAGCTTATGAAAGTGACTTTGTAAGATCTTATATTATTTTTATTTCCCTTGTAATTTTTTTCTCTTACTCATAGGTTATGTAGAAGTGTATTGCTTAATTTCCAAATATCTAGGAATTTTTCTAGTTATCTTTATGTCCCTGTCCTTTAGTTTAATTCCATTCTGGTGAGAAACATGCTGTATGATTTCTATTCTTTGAAATTTGTTAAGATTTGCTTTGGTCTGTTTTGGCAAACATATAAATGCAGCTAAAAAAATTGTACTTTGCAGTTGTTGACTGTAGCGTTGTCTGAAGGTCAATTAGGTTAAGGTGGTTTGTTGTGTTGTTCAAATCTTCTACAGTCTTACTGATTTTTTGTCTGCTTATTCTGTCAGTTATTACAACATTTCCAATAATGATTGTGGATTTGTCTCTTTTGCCTTTAACTATTAGGTGACACAAATTTAGGAATGTTTTATCTTCCTATTTAATGGACTCTTACATTTTAAAACATCACTCTATTTCTAGTAATATTTAAAGTCTACTTTGCTTGGTATTAGTAAAGCTATAGTAGCTTTCTTTTGTTTAGTTTTTGCATGGTATGTATTTTTCCGTTCTTTTTATTTTTTCTGTGTTTTGTATTTAGAGTATGTCTCTTATAAACAGCATCTAGCTGGATCTTTTTTTTCTTTTTAATTCAGTCTCACAGCCTGTCTTTTAATTGACATCTTTGGTCCATTTATATCTCATATAACTGCTGATATAGTTGGTTTTACAGACTGAATGTGTCCCCCCAAAATTCATCTGTTGAAACCCTACCCCCAGTGTGATAGTATCAGGACGTGGAGCTTCGGGGACGTAATTAGGATTACAGGAGGTCATGAAGGCGGAGCCCTCATGAATGGGATTAGTGCCCTTAGAAGGGGACCTCGCTTCCTTTCTCTGCTCTCTGCCATGTGTGGATACAACAAGAAATCAATAGTCCACAACCGGGAACAGGGCTCTCAACAGAACTCAACTGTGCTGGCACCCTGATCTTGGGCTTCCGGCCTCCTGAACTGTGAGAAATAAATTTCTGTTGTTTGTAAGCCATCTATCTTACGGTATTTTGTTCTAGCAGCCCAAACTAACTAAAACAATTGGGTTTACATCTACCAGCATATTATGTGGTTTCTATATAACCCATTTGTTCTTTGATCCTGCACTTCTCCTTTCTTGAATTATTTTTGATTAATCAGGTATTGTTTATTATTCCATTTTCCCTCTACAGGATTTTTAGTTATGCATTTTAAAAATTATTCTATTGGTGGTTTCCATAAAATTCCAATATACATCCATAACTTATTGTGACCTACCTTAAATTAATAGCTTTACCAGTTACTGACCAATATAAGAACCCTGCAACAGTTTAATTCCGTTTAACCCCCTGCCAGCATTTGTGCTAGTGGTGTCATCTATATTAACATCATGAGGCATTGATATGAATTGAGGGGAATTTGAATGCAGATTTTTGGATCTTTCTCTCAATTCCTTTCCTGTCTGGGATTTTGATGCTCAATTCCAAGCCACTTTGGCAGTCCTGAACTCAGACCTCTTTCCCTCCAGTCCAATAAGACTGTCACTTTCTGTTTGAGCTATATTCCCTGCATCATAGTTTGAAAAATGCCCCCAGGACAAAGCCATAGCATGGATGTAGAGCTCACCATATGTGCTTCCCTTCTCCCAGGGACTGCGAGAGTCCTGCCTGTCCTGGTTTCTTGCCAATGCCTTCAGACATTCGATTTATGCATGTCATCCAGCTTTTATAGTTGTTTTTGGCAGAAGGGTTAGTTCAGTACCAGCTCCTTTATCATGCATGGCTGAGACTAGAAATCCCTGAGAACATTTTTATAAACAGAAATGTCTCCTCATCTAACATTTGGTATACCAGTGGTATAGTTCATATAAATGCATGATCATTTTCCTTTATCTGTTTTCAAAGTAATGAGATGATTCTCTAGCATCCTCCGATATAGACCCATTATGATTATTTTTACTATCATTTTGAACTCACAATCTTAAACATATTTAAATTTAAACATTTTGTGCTTCAATCCAAGGTAGGTATTATTCTTAGAGGTGCTCAAATTTTTCCTTCTCTGACCATTGGGACCCTCTTTACATTAGCTCCTTGGGTCGTTTCGACACGATCTTGGTGGTCTTTGATACCTTGCTTGTGATATGTATGGCAAGATATTCCAGGACCGTCTTGTGTATTTCTTCTCCCCTTAGGCCTGCTGTTTATCTAAGGAACCCAAGATATAGTATGAGAGGAGGATCAAGGATAGGTTGTGTTCTCAGGGCACTGCCGAGTTTCAGTGAAAGCAAGATGGTAAAGAGACGAACCAGAGGAAAAGTTGAAGATTTAGGTGATTTTGCTGATTACATTTTATGATTTCTAGATGGCAGAGAGAAAGATTCTTGGAGGTAGGAAAAGGAAGGGAGATTAGTTAAAACTAATGAGTAGATGGAGAAAAGGAGATGGAGAATGAAAGCCTGGTGAATACTAACATGCATTGTATATTAAACCACTTAGTATATGTGTGCTTATTTTTTGTCCTACAAAATTTCAGCATATTAAAAATCACCATCGAAGAACTCCCATGTCACTGATAGGTGAGTAGATTCAAGTTGACTGTTGGAAGATATTTGTTGGCCATGCCTTCGTTTTGATCAAAGATTTGTCTGGAAAATATGTCTGTACAGAGCTCAGAAAATGTGAGAATTTCCTCCTTTTCAATATGCTATTAAAGTTGTCCCCTTTAAGTAGAGGAAGGAATCCTCAGCCACTGTAGAGAATGAATGAGTAGAATGGGCTGTAATTAATTTGTACATTTTATTCAGTAATACCTCTCCTCTGTTCACTATTATGTTACTATTGTTTTAGTTGTAATACATACAAAGACATTTATTTCATCTACATTTATTATTTAAAGAGTCTTAATGTATAATCTGTTGCTTGATATTTTCTGTTGAGTTGATGTATTTTAGAGAAATTCCTGGGATGAACAATATAGTTATTCACAATGTTATCTTCCTGGGTAGGAGTCTCCTGGAATAGCGAAGTTATGCAAATGAAGAGAGTTGAATAGCCAAGTTCTGTTAATGTTGACAGCAAAGTGTGTGTGTTTGTGTGTGTGTGTGGTACACAGTTTTGATTCTCACTATGACAGATGAGACAATATCTCTGACTTCAAGAATTTCATTGTCTAGTGGAAGAGACAGGTAGGTTAGAGAAAATGTTTAAGATAAGTAATCAGTCCTTTAAGAAAGTATGCCTGGGCAGCAAGGAGCACCATCGGCTTCACCAAGGAAATGATCTGTGAGCCTTCTTGTTGGAGTTCATCCACAGTGGAAGGAACCATTCCAAGCAGAGGGAACAGCGTGTGCCAGGGTGCATAACGGAGAAAGACAGGAGATAAGGATATCGTGTGGCTAAATCTAATGGGTCTTTATGCCATGATAAGGAGTTTGCACTTTCTGTCCTATACCAGAAGGGGAAAAAATTTGTTGGTTGAAATTAGGTAGGGGCAAGAGAAATTTAGTTAGTAGACTATAACCAGAAGATTTTTAGTAGTTAGGTATGGGAGATAGGGAAAAGAGCAGGTTAAGTGTGCTTCCCAGATCTCTAGTTTTGTAACTGGATAAATAATAGAGAGGAGTGGGGTAGAATGGAAACGAGCAGGCCTTCACATTGGGGGGATGTGAATATGATGAATTTGATATTTATGTATCTCTATTAATATATTTATCTATAGTTGTGTGTGTGTCTATATCTCATAGTATTTTTTTAACCTTATCTATCTCTTCAGACGACCTCTCTACTTTTCACAGATAACGAAATGTATTCCCATGTTTTTATTAGGAAACATTTATCTTGTCTTGCTGCCCTTTCAGCTGTTTACTTGTTCTGCAAGCTTTCATGTTTTCTTGAATAATCTTATGTACCCAGTGGATATTTTTATAATGAAAAGTCACACATAGGGCTTTTTCTCATAGAGATAATATTAGTCGCTTCAAGAAAGTGTCATCACACAAAAATGAGCCAGATTGAAAATTAGCAGGAGATGCCTTGCTGGTTGCAGCCATGAAAGGGGTTCAGTACATGCCAGCTGATTTAGACTTTAAGGCAGGAGTTAACCGGAAATCCTTGAGGACTCAGGCAGCATGGAGGCAGACAGGCAGGACAATGTCGGAATGGAAGAGAAGGCACAGTCTCATGCATTTTTGGCTTGCATTAGAGCCTGCCACATTAACTGCGATTTCAATGACCTTGCTATTTATTTCACGTATAATTTTAAAATTGAAATGTTTACACTTCTGTAAGTGCAAATAGCGAGAGAGATATGGATTCGAATTTTTAAATTTTTTTTGTGGCAGGCGTCCCACATATAAAGTAGAGGAAGATGGGCACGGATGGTAGCTCAGGGCCAGTCTTCCTCAGCAAAAAGAGGAGGATTGGCAGCAGATGTTAGCTCAGGGCTAATCTTCCCCCCAAAAAAAATTTTTTTAAAAATGAAGTTTTTAATTTAAATAGTTCCCTGGCTTGCTAGGAGGTAGCACAGAGTTACGGAGAGTCATGGAGTGCCATCACAGCGTCTCTCGTTTGTCTTTCTGCCTCAGCTTAGGGCCTTGTTACCTCACTCCTGACCTATGGAAATAGACTTTTATCCTGTGTGTTCCTCTTTCCAGACCTCCTTCCTTCTGATACATTTCAAACGCTGCTAGAAAGAACTTTAGATGCCAGTCAACCAGTCTCAACAATATGCACGTTGTTAAATGAGTGAAACAAGGAGACCGTTAGACTGAGGTGGCTCCAATGCTGGGACAGCCTACGTAAGCAAACCAAAATCTAAGTCTGTAGATGCCTGAGGCTGAGGAAATCAAGACACTAAGGAGAGCAAGTCACGAACAGCCAGCTAGACTTTAAGCTACAGCCAATCCAATAATTTCCTTTCTTTGCTTCCATGCTTTCTTTGTATAAGTCTTCCCCCAGGCTCCTGGCCAAGGAGAGCATCTAACCACTTCTGGTTTGGTGCTACCTGATTCAAACTGATAAAGGCTCAAATAAACTTCTAATTTTTAAAATATGCCTCAGTTTATCTTTCAACAATGTTCTCCATGTGCATTTGTATTTTAACCAGACCTCTATCTTTTGCTTTTTTTTTTTGAGGAAGATTAGTCCTGAGCTAACATCTGCCATCAATCCTCTTTTTCTTTTTTGCTGAGGAAGACTGGCCCTGAGCTGCCATCTGTGCCTATCTTCCTCTATTTTATATGTGGGGTGCCTGCCACAGCATGGCTTGCCAAGCAGTGCCATGTCCACACCAGGGATCTGAACCAGCACAGGCCAGGCCGCCAAAGCAGAACGTGTGAACTTAACCACTATGCCACCAGGCCAGCCCCCCATCTTTTGCTTTTAACTTCAATATAGAGTTAATGTTCTTGAAATTTCTTTCCAAAAAGCTTGAATAAAGTCCAAATATTTTACCCCAGCATTTAAAGCCTTCCATGATCTGGTTGCAGATTTATCAAGCACTCTTCCCTTTGGCCATCCTGAACCACTACCTGTTTCTCACTCACCTCACTTCACTGTCACACAGCTGTACTGTCCATCACCGGAGTGCAGGCACCACGAGGGCTGATCTCCGGGCAACAGAGCGATGGGAAGGTTTTGAAGTGAATGAATTCTTTGTTCATTTGTCTACCTCCTCCTCAACCTCTGCATATCTAAATTCTGTGCTTACTTTAAGGCTCAGATCAAATACTGCTTCCTTCAGGATGCTTTCCCAGATTCCTTTGCACATTAAAGTCATGCCATCTGGATTCCCACAATATTTTATTTATCCCTCTTTTGTGATGCTTATTTTCTTCCTGAAATTATTGTTCTCTGGAATTGAGTCATTTATATTTATTTTTGTATCTTCCCTAGACCCTAGACTCATGGTTCTTAGCACATAGTAGGCACTTAGTTAATGTTCCTTGAGTCCATTAATTAATACTTAAAGTGAAAAGAGAACTGGGAGGTGATTGTTACATGAATTCCTAAACCTCTAGAATAGGTTCTATGTAAACACACATATGGATCTCTCATGAAAACAACAACAAAAACCAAGTGAAAATAAAATCACAGCTAATTTTGGTATTACCATTCCACTGATTGACAACTTTGGTAATAATAATAGCCATGCTTTATTGAAAACTGACTCTGCCAGGCAATCCAATCCCTTTACATATATCATCATGGATCTTCAACACTTATGAGGGTCTATATTCATTTAAATAATGAGCGTATTGAGGCTGAAGCTGAGTCTTGTGTTTGCTATGTATGTGAACTAAAATTTAAGTATGGGTCTGACTGACTCCAAGGCTCTTCCCGCTAGGCCGTGCCTTCACACTCTTTGGGTTCAGAAATCCTTTTAGTGCACTAAGGGAAACGTCTTGTGTGATGTCCACAGTGGAGACACAAACATGCCCACAGAATCTCGGCATCTGCACTGACAGGCCTTCATTTCCCTAATGGAGATTTGATGACTATATTGCTAACAAAGGAAGAAGGCTCCCTTAGTAAAACTTTTAGGCAAGTCCCAAAATTTAAGTTGATCCTCGTCAACACTTTCTGTAATAATTAAATGTTACAACCTAGAATCTAGTGGTGAAAGGGAACTTTGGGAGTATTCCTAGCTGTGCTACCTGACTACAGTTTAAAGATCTGTATATTCTGAGGACCAGGAGGTCACAGGATTGCCTTCCTCTGTGCTGCCTCGTTAACCTAACAATCCCCGCCTCCTCTATCTGCAGTGACCCCTGGGATACGCTAATTGTAATGTCTCTGGAGTCAGCGGAAGGTAAAACCACACAGGTACAAAATAAGTTAACTGCAGAATTGCCAGTTTTATTTCACAGCATCAGCAGACTTTTGTCCTTGTGATTTTCTTTCTTGTTACAACTTATATAGTATGGCTAAGTTAATGAAGTTTTAATTCTGTTATTGTGCAGTGGGTGTTCATTATATTTCACACAGGAACTGGCAACATTACCACTCTTTCCCTCCATTTCCCTAACCATCTGAGTTAGGTAAGTGAGGGACGTTCTAGCTCTTTCTTGATCGTCTCCTTTCTACTCCTCTACTCTGTCCCTGTCGATAAGGAGATTTTCTGCCTTCCCACTTCAGCTCTTCTTTTAGTACTTTACAGTAGTAATAATTAATGAATGGAAATCATCTCTATTTTTTATATGGTGATTCATATTTTGCATATCTATTATCTTGGCCTGAAAATAACAATCTACAGAAGGTAGACTTATAGTATTTTCATCTCCATTTTACAGATAAGGAGACAGGTCCTTTTCCTTTCATTTTTTGCTGAGGAAGATTTGCCCTGAGTTAACATCTGTGCCAATCTTCCTCTATGTTTTTGTTTTTAGTACATGGGTCACCAGCACAGCATGGCTGCCAACAGAGCAGTGTAGGTCTGCACCCGGGAACTGAACCCTGGCTGCCAAAGCAGAGCACGCCAAACTTGACCACTAGGCCACCAGGGCCGGCCCAGTCCTTTTCCTTTTGGATGTGAGAAAAATAGCGTTTGTAGTTCTGCGCTCATCAGAGCCACCAACTTCAAGACTGTATTGTTATAGCAGAGGACCAGGAGATACACAAGCTGAACTAGGGTTCCTGTTCCTCATTTTCTCATGGACTTATCACTAAGTACAGCACTGAGTGAAGAGCACGGCCTCAGGGCTTGGGCAGCAGGAGGACAGGTCTCAGCTCTGACCCTTAGAAGCTGCATGTTATGGGCGAAGTTAACTGAACTATCAAAACCTCAATTTCCTATTCTAAAAAGACAAGGATTATGATATTTCTACCTCCTTCAGTGAAAGAATGTTAGGAACTATTTAATTTCTGGGTCATCATCATTGTACTCACACTCATCTATTCAAACTAGGCAGGGTGTTCCAGTATTCATTCATTCCTTCAAGAAATATTTGAGTGTCCATCACGTACCAGACATTGTGCAGAAAACAGGGCACACAAAGTCCCTAACCTCATAGAGTGTACACAGCAGAATGTCGAAGTTCTTCGGAGATCAGAGTGTACCCAGCAGAATATCTAAGAATATTCAGATGTCAAAAGGTCAGGATTTTGATAAGGAGCTAAATAGGAAACTGGCAATGAACTGCAGTAAGGGAGCAGGAAAACCAGGCAGGGGCACTGCTGTCCTAGAAATCAAGAAACCAAGCTGGGAAACTGTTTCAAGATGGTGGTAGTGGTCAATTGCGTTAAATACCTCTGAGAGTTAGAGTGAGCGAGAGCCTGAGAATGGAACTTTGATTCTGGCCAGATGGACACCATTGGTGTCTGTGATAAGGGCAGCTTTAGTGAAGGGCAGCAGAACAGAAAACTACTTGGTACACGGGAATTTTAAAAAACGAATTTCCAGCATCCCTAGCTCATGATCACTAGAACTCTCTTGTTCTAAAAAATATTCATCCTGGGGCTGGCCCACTGGCATAGTGGTTAAGTTCACATGCTCCACTTTGGCAGCCTGGGGTTTGCAGGTTTGGATCCCAGGTGTGGACCTACATGCCGCTCATTAAGCCACGCTGTGGTGGCATCCCACATACAAAATAGAGGAAGACTGCCACAGATGTTAGCTCGGGGCCAATCTTCCTCACTGAAAAAAAACCCCCAACAATATTGATCTTTCGGTGACGTGGCTGACTCACTCAAATTGAGCATCAGTACTACTGCTATCAGTATGCCTATTTACTTTCAAGTCTTTATCATGTATCAGAATACCTGGAAATATGCCCTTTGAACTAGCCTACTCATTGCTGGTTTTCTTTTATCCATACCATTGAGCGGAAGGAGCCTAATACCCAAGGACAAACATTCATCATCCTGTTTGCCTAATATCTAGCATTTTATAATGTTTGATAAAAACATAACTTGGTGGTCTAAGTTCTTCAATATTTTGAGAGATTCTGGCCATTTTAAGGAACTCGTCTGCCACCATTTTCAGCCTTCTTTCAGTACATGGCACTTGTCCCATGTAGAACAAGATATGGACATCTTATCTTCTAACATTGGTTTAATTTATTTCTTGTAAAATAACCATGAGACAAGCAAATTTGAGTAAATCTCTCATTGATTTGTGTTTTTTTTGGTCTCAAATTTCAATGTATGATGACTTCTGGCATTTGATGTCTTGTTTGGGGGAAAATGTTGGGAGATTGGAGAGAGGGTGTGTGAGCTTGCTATGGAGCTTCATTGGCGGGGCCGGGGTCTCTACCTTTGGAAAAGAATCACCCTCATGTTTGACACAGGATACTACAATTCTCTCTAGAAGTCATAAATGATATTTCAGCCTGAGTTGGCTTATCAAATTGCTAGAGCCAAAGAGAATCCATTCAGAGAGAT